CTTCTAGTGGTCTCCATTTTTCTCTCTTCACCCTATATCTGCTTGGAGATTGATTCAAGCTTTGTGCATCCCCTTTGCCTACATGCATGTACTGAATGGTGATGTGGGCTATTCCATATGTTCACAAAAGGAGGGGGTTGGAAACCATTGTGGAGTGTCCAATTTTGCATATCAGGTATCATATTTCACATTAATTTTGCAACAACCCATCTCCTAATTGCTATGACTGCTTTCTGCTCAATTTCATCATAAATGAATAAGTCTTCCCTTTCTTTTACTATTCCATATTCTTTCCACCAAACTATTGATATTCTTTCTACCCAACATCCTGGTGTGCCTTCATTATCTGTATCTTTAAAAAAAAACACTGACTATAGGATAAATACAAGTCACTGGTTATATGACTCCCCTATAACCCCTTTGCTGGATCAAAAAAAGGGGATTGTTTTTTCACAGCCATGACCTTGACCTGTTTCCCCAGTCTTGCATGGTGCAGGTGAAGACCTCAGTGTTTGATACACATTTCTGATGACCTGCACCAGGACAGCTGCAAGTCTATAGCTTAAGAAGTCTGGGGCTAAGGCTAGTCTCCACCTGACTCTTTCTCTACCAGACTCTTTTGCAGGCTGAATAGACAGTAGAAATCGGCCTAAAAAGAATGTAGCTGGCCAGAGGAGTTTGCCAGCCAGAGAGGGCCCAGTTTGCCTGCATGGAGTTTACAATCAAAAGGCAAACTGGATCCTCTATAGCTGGCCAACTCCCCTGGCCAGCTACATTCTTTTTAGACCAATTTCTACTATTCATTCAGCCTGCAAAAGAGTCTGGTGGAGACTAGTACCAATGCAAGAGGGGCTACAACAAAGAAGTCTGTCCTGCACTGCTTGGTACCAGTCTTGTTCTTGACAAGGAAAAAGCACTTGAACATTTCCGGGTCCTAACAGTATGTCAACACAGTCAACACACCCTTTCTTCTAATCTCTACAAATACCAGCGAAATATTCGTCATAATGACGTGCAAGAAAAGGACAAACTAGAATCCATTCAACTGCAGTGCCTTCCTTAGTTTCTTTGTTGCGTGTGTCATTTCCTCACCTCTATTTCCCTGAAACAGCGATGAACAGTGCTGTTGGAATGCTTGTCACTGTAAAAAAGAGATTATGAGATGTTATACATATAAAGCATTCATCACATTATGCCTAACTAACTGGTCATTGCTGTAATGAGACTGAAATAAATGTAAAAAGGGTATAAAACATGTCTCAACATAACACCAATAGTCTTCAATTTCCTTGGGACATATGAATTATGATAATTGATAGAGCTCTTCCTTCTACAATATAAAAAAAGAAATCATGCCTTAACAAAACTGAATAACATCGCAGCTTTTTGATACACAGATTTGATATTATAATGTTGGTTGATGATGATTATAATGTTACACTAGGGAGATACAGTGTATAACTGTAGAGTGGGCTAATAGGGCAAACGGCGAGATTTGCCAAGGATTGGTCAAACAAGTGGTTTAGCACACAAACAATCCACAAATCTCCCGCCTAACCCAAAACCAACAGATTAAGGCTAGAGACTTTTAGTCCAGACACTGTATCTGGGCTTCGGTAGTCACCACAAACCGTACGCACCAACGCGTCCTACACTTTGTTATGCAATTTGATGCCGAAATTTTGTTTTGACACTGTAATCATAACGATGCGACTAAAACCAAAATACAAATCGACAAGACAACAGTCTCATCCTTGTTTACATGGACACATTCCAACTAGAAATCACTTGCATCTGTGTCCTTTACGTCAAACTTAACCCGGATGACTGCCGGCAAACCGCGGGAACATACAACTGATAGAAAAGAGCTGACGTCTACTAAAGGATGAATGAAGCGCCTCTGCCAGGCCGGGTCAGACACATTATTATACTCAGCGTTACTCACCAAAATGTCTCCATACAGCGGTCGCAAGCAGTGTACACTTGATCTGAAAATGGAGAATAAGAGAACAACATTCTAGTCAACTCGCGTTGAGGGTTACTGAATGTATACTGGGACACAGAACGTAGTACGGGAAATATTTTTTTCCGACCAGGAATTTTTGACCGTTCGATATCTGACCCTACGGTCGGTTCGGCTTCCTGTGACGAAAGACCTTGATAAAACAGGCAAAACAAATAGTAGGGAACGCAAGGATCGTCGGCTCACTTTGCTCCTTACAGTCCTTGTAGGCACAGTACTTGTTTGCTGATGTTTCAGACGAGCTCCCCTTCGCCATTTGTCCGGTTTTCTTCTTAAAATCAGCGGATACCCCACTTTTCATCGCCACTGCAGCAGCCATCTTGGCCCATTGACGTCATCCGCCACACCCACATCCGGGCCTTTTCATGGGTGGGTCCACTCGGGTGGGGTGGGTGTGGCAGGGTGGGGCACTTCTATGTTTGTACGGCAAGAATTTCATCAAAAAATATTTCTACTCAAGTATCGTGCCATATATAGGGTAATGGTAGATTCCTGTGTACCTGCGTTACTTTTGTTTCTCGTTCTTATCTCTCGAAACTAAAAATCAAACCCCAAAGTCACCGCCGGGATGTGAGATCCCCACACACCACCCCTTTGATCGACGACAGCGCACTCAGCCGTGAAAAGGCCACTCTCGGTATCCTTGGAATTCCGTAGCCATGGAAACGGCGAGGGAAATGGGCAGGATAAATTGAACTTTCTGACGATCTGTTGCCTTTTCGGGAAAAGCTGTTGGGGCTGAGGGATGCCAGCAGTGCCTAATCATGGCTGACACTCACAAACAACCGTGAACGTGTCAGTTTAGACTCCTGTCATTGACAGGTGTTTACTAGACTCTACCAGGCTTCGGGAGGCGGCTGGAAAGAGTAGAAATCGGCCAAATACAGAGATAACACGCCAGGGGAGTTTTTCTGCTGGAGAGAACAGTTTGCCGCTCCAGAATGTTCTTTCCCAGCAGACAAACTCCCCCGGCATGTTATCTCTCTATTTGGCCGATTTGTACTCTTTCCAGCCGCCTCCCGAAGCCTGGTAGAGGCTAGGTGTTTACAAATCCTCCTACGATCTACAACAAATTCAAACACTTTTACGAACGCGGAGCTATTTACTTTACAGCTGTGGAATACTATGAAAGGACGTCTTTATGCGCCGAACTTTTATCAGTGACGCTTCTCGCCTCCGCAGTCGGCTAGCCGCGATAAACGCTAGGCGTGGTCACCTTTGTACCAAGCTTTGCAGACAAGTTAAACAATAGCAAGGGGACGGCGTTTTTAAATGAGTAGCCTCTACCAGGCTTAAGTGGTTGCTTTAAATGGTAAAATTTGGCCAAATACACGGATATCATTACAAACATGCCCGGGAGTCTGCTAAAGGAGAATAGTTTTCCCAAGAAGGTTAAATGGTTTTCCGCTCCGAGTCATCATACTTTATTTCTGCTCTCCAAGCAGAGGTTTGGGTTATTCTTGCCGTGTTTTTAGGTTTTTTATCGGAGTTTCTTTTTTGCACTGAATTGTTTTTACCAAATAACCCAAACCTCTGCTTGGAGAGCACTAGTCACACGTATGATACTTTTCCAGGCGCATCTGAAGCCTGGGTAGAGACTCTTTTTTCTTCTACTCTTTTCCAGTTGTCCCATCAAAGCCTGGTTTAGGCTATTTAATGTGTCTGTGTACGAGTGCACGTCCACGAAGACGTAGACGATCCCGCAGCCAGAAAAGGTCAGACTGGGCGTGAAGCCGCGCTGCTTCTGACTTTCAGGTTGGACCGGGTCTGTGCCGGTGGGTGTGGCGCGATGTTTACTGTACACTGCGGCATCGATCACGGGACAAACATCAAGCAGATGCCTTTCGGTGGCAAGACATTGTCCATTAGCCAGAGGAGTTTGTACGGCCACCGAAAGGGATCTTTCCGACAGCGAAACGGTGGCCGTACAAACTCCTCTGGCTAACTTGTGGATAATGTCTTGCCACCGGCCGCCGAAAGGGATCTGCTTAGAGATTATAGTAGACAAACATGCCAGTAGTGTTTACATTGGCAATGCAGCTCGGTAGTATACAGCAACCGATTTAGAATCGTACCACTTTACACGTTTATAAAAGGAGTTCTCGTTTATATATGTATAGTGGCACAAGCTCCCGTTTTATATTGGATTAAAGATGGACTCACCATGGCATGATTCTCATGATGCATATTGCACCTTTCAGTGCCCCAAGGCCAAGGTACTGATTACGTACTAATAAACGAACGTTGACTGTTTGGGCTGATAATCAACTTTTTCTCGCAAGTGTATAGTCATAGAAGACCAGACGGCTTAGTAATTTCGAAATTCTGTCGCTAGCTCTCGTCTGAGTTGTGTGGCAAAGTCGGGGACTTGACTGTTTATACAATGTAAAACAAAGTACGGCAACCGTGAAATATATTATATTACATGTACCAAGTCAGAACGAAAAGGCGACGCCTACTACTAGTACTAGTATTTGAAAACGACCCTAGCGAGTCAAGGGTTGGAAAAGTTTCTTAAGAGGCGAGTAAGTACAGTAAAGTTTTCTTATACCGATAAATGAGCCACATTCAACAACCGTTGAAGGGTTGGAAAAGTTTGGTAAGAGGCGAATAAGGACATTTAAGTTTTCTTATGCCAACAATTGAGCTGCTTTCAACAACCGGCGTTTAAGTTCTGCTGATAGACAATAAATAACACACTTTGAAGAGCACAACAGGAATAATTCAGACATGAACGCTATGAGTTTCCAGTATTTTTATTGCTTTCTTTCGAGGTTTGTACTGAGATGACAGCCGTCCCTCCCAAGCTCCACATGGCTTTTCCACACGGTTTGATGCCCTACCATCACATCAAAGGTACAGTAAATCTTTCAAAGACACAAACACAAAAATGTTCAGAGTATTACTCTTAAGTTATAGATATTTCATCCTGAATAATATCTATTTATATGCCACGTACAGTGAGGTAAACTATCCAGTGCTATTGCTTTAAGTGAAAAGTACCCTTCAAAATACAAGTACTTGATGGTTCCATACAAAACCTTGTTGACTTCTGGATTGGAATCATTGTGTAAACAGTTTATTTTGTTACCGACCCTGTACAGACTGGGACTGGTTAAAAGTGTTTGGACAGGTTTTCTGAGAAACTGAATTCTAAAGAAACTCAACTCATTTGAAAAGCTGGGCAACAAATTATTTCCTAGTGGATGTCAGGACAACTTTTCTCAAGAAACCAGCTCCACTGTGGATACAAGTTTTAACCAAACTAGAGCCATGTTTCTGCACATGATGTTGTTTCAGACACAGCTTACAGAGAACCCAAATCAAACCTTTCAAGTCCCAGTCTCAACAAGGTTTTAACTGTATATTGATGGTTGATGTCATGGCATGTATAACAGACAACCCCTTAACATGTAAAAGATTCAGTTGTCAGTGGCTTGTGACATTTATCTAGGAACTGCTGTGCTCGAGACTGATGCAGAACACTCAACTATCCCATACCCTGCCTGGTCCTCTGGGAACAGTGGCTACAATATTTACAGTTAATCTGACAAAAGTACATTCGTGCTAAGCAACCCAAAACATTTTCAACAACTTGTTGGTACATTCAAATAGTGACAGTTATTCAACAACACGATGTTTGTATCTTATTTTTTTGTCTCTGAATCATGACAACATAGGATTCAACTAAAAGAAATGGATCATGATTTTGTTCCCTCTAAGCCAGCTCGGCTGATTCCACAAATAAGGATACATTTTTTTCAATCATCACTGATCCCTTAAAGACCTTCATAAATGAAAAATACAAAGAAATCACCATTGGCATTAAAAAGAAATCATTACATGTCATACATCTTACGCACGCCTCAAGTAATGTTGACACTGTTAACAACGGTCATACAATCTTAACATCATTGAAATAGCTGGAAGAAGTCACTACACATGACTAGAAATTCCAGTTTGGTTATGATGCAATAAATGACAAAGTAAAATCATAAAATAACAGGGCTTTTCCCCTTTCAAATCATAAAACAATGTACAACATCATTAAACATTGCACCAAAAATATAACAGGTATAAAACGAAACAATACAAAAAACGGCAAGTAAACTTCATAATACCTTGATACAAGATTATACTTACTAAAACACTGTAACGTTACTTGTACGAGAAACAAAACCATCTGTCAACTCTTAGTTTTTACTTCGATCTAATATTTGCACAACGTTCTAAGCATATGTCTACCAGAAAAGCCTTGTTGTCAACACTGTTCAGAACACATCTGTCATGACCTGATACCTACAGCAATAGACCATGAAATGGCCATACCAAGTTATTTACATACACGTCCATGCCAATGGTATCTCCTTAGTGAACTCTGTCGTCCCTACTTTACCTCCCAAAGACTAACTAGTCACAAGTTACAGCTACATTAGTATATACAACTTCCTTTAAGTCATATTTTTGCCCTTTTCTTATATAGGATTCTTGTTTAACTATACATATATCCAGCAAACCCTTGGGTAGGTATAGTACTTGGCAGGACACTGGGGTTATGCATAGAGGTATAGATTCTACATGTCGTTACAGTAAATATAGTCTCTCATTCGCAAGCACATTCCACCCTGTGGTGTATGTAGTACTCTTTACCCCTGCCTTTCAACCAATTGGGGCATTCCACAACATCACTGTAAGCATTCCTTTGGTAGCTACGATATGGTGTTCGTCATCACGGGAAGTTTTTAAAAACCTCTGCTTCAAAGTTTATGTTAAGTTATAGGAATCAGCACCAAAGAACAAGCAGCTCACGGTCGGACAACTTTAAAGCAAGCATTGGAGGACGCAACAATACTGAGAGAAGCACACTGGATTTAACTGTCTGCAGCTAGACAACAATCATTACTTTGTCAGACAACAGCACACAACAACACATCACACAAAGATCTTTATATACAGGTATATTTGGTGCATTTCTGTTCTTGTGAACATGTTCCCAGTTGGAGGGTGACATTATAGCTTCACCCTGTCCGTTCACGATTTCTTTGACTACCTATTGCCACTGTCGTAACATATCTACATACATAAGTTGGCCACTGGTGTCATGTCAAGATGCTTCTCTTTTTTTTCTGTATTTTCCTGTTGGACCTCTCACTGGCACTACTGATCCTACTATACAGACAGTACCTACAGTCAAACGTTCTCTATGTATGTACAGGTTTAGGTAGAGAGAGGTCGACATGTGCTTGTTGTTGTGTTCTGTAAGTTCTCCGTACACAACAGATCAGAAGAAGCTGTGCTCCCAGCGCTAACTGAGCTACCGATGCTGTCCCCGCTCATGTTCCTGTGCCTCATGAGCGGGTTGGGGATGATTGTCCTGGTTTTGTTTGTAATGTTGGCCACCTCCGTATCCAAGTCCTCGGACGAGCTGCTACTGTTGTTCTTGCTGAGGGGAGGTAGCCCCACGTTCGCCCGCATCTCGTTAACGATGGAGAAGTTCAGCTCTTCCTCAATGAGGCAGTTGTCGGGGAGAAGCCTGCGCAGCTTGGTGACAGTGTTGAGGAGGGCGGCCCGCTCGATCTCCAGGGTCTGCACGCTGGAGCGCAGCTTGTTCTGCTCTGACTGAAGACTGGCAACTGTGGCTTCCAAACTGAAATCAACAAGATTGTACTGTCAGTCAGTCTCAAAAGACTATGACTTTAACTGCGGAAACAAACCAAACAGGATGGCTCAGTTCTCAAAAAACGTCCAAAATTTAAGTTCCTTGTTCACGGGGCCTGCTTGGCAGTAGTGGCAGTGTGTCGTCTGTGCCCACAAAGTAACCAGTACTACCCGGTAGTGTCAGAAAGTGTTGAATTTCTCATCATACATCAGCCACAGAATATACAGTTGTCACAATAGCGATCATACACAAGTTTGTTTTTGGCTTCCAAGCTGAAATCAACAAGATTACTGATTTAGCCTCTGTATATGTACACTTGAAGAAGACACACAGGCGAAAACGGTCGTGTTACAGGCTGAATAAAAGTTCTAAACGGGAACTATATGTGGCTCCAGATGTCTTACTAAGGGACGACTGCGTGTGCGAGATGTCGGTTAGGTTGAGGAATGAATCCCCTCTACCTTTACAACAACATTATTGGGGTTAGAAGGTGGAATTTCTCATCATACATCAGCCACAGTATATGCAGTTGTCACGATAGCGATCATACACAAGTTTGTTTTTGTATCTAGCTATCTTACAGACTATTTGATCTGGATAAGAATAGATTGTTTACCTGTGAATACTGCTGTGTGATGTCTGGAGCTTTTCCAACAGCTCCATGTTCTGTCTCTTCAGGTTGCGATTGGCCTGCTCCAGCTTTTCCATCCTGTCGACATCCCCCCTCTGGGGAGAGCTGATCATCTCCTCCTGCAGGACGTGGTACTCCACCTCGTAGGCGTGAAGCTGCTTGGAGATGTCCAGCTCAAATGCCTACAAAATAAAAATAAAAATAAAAATCTTTGATTAGGGCTCTCTTGTACTGGTTAGGTTTGTAGAGTTTTGGAGGGGATTTTGTTGTGGGATGTCAGAACTCAAAATACATGTACCACCTCCATCTCAAATGCCTGCAAAATAAAATAAAAATATTTGATTGGGGCTCTCTTGTTTCCTGACCGACCATAGAAAAAACTGTCCACCCCAGGCTTTTTTTGTGTGTGTGTGGACCGCTGAAAGGGACATAAATTTTTTGGGCTGATCGATCACTTCTAGCTCCATGATCTGACCTGAGTGATGAAATGTTGTACAATCAGTTTTTTAACATTGACATTGAAAATATAATTGTCCTCATGCAAGTTTGACTTTGTTAAACTGTATTGTATAAGTTGGATCACTACAGATCGTCAAAGTCTAAAAGAAAAAGAAAAATATAATCCCTACCTACCGACCCCAATTTTTCAGGACTGAAACTGGACTGGTGCAGATAATTTTCAATATGCAGAAAAAGTAATTTCGAGCCCTGACGATTCAAATTCTGTTTCTAAAAGTGACAGTGTGGACTTACTCTAGTGATGACCTTCTCCATGCTGACCATGCCCAGGGCTGGCAGCTGGTTCTTGATGAAGTCCACGATGTTCTCGAACCCCTGACAGGCCATGATCAGGTCCTCATGGTCGCCCAGCAGCGTCAGGGCCACCTTAAAGATCACGTCTGTTCCTTGGAGGAATATCAGATCTGGGGGAAAATATATGCAGAATTATCATACAGCAAAGATATCACACCCGTATCATGTTATATAATCTTGCAATAAAACTGCTTTTCTCTTGACTGACTTAACTGTCACTGACGAGAGGCAGTGGATGCCACTTGAAATGTCTGATCGTTTCCCAAAATCATATCCAGTTGCCCCAAAACATGGGGTTGAGAGTGACTGTTGGGGGTCCTTCTGATATTTTTATAGATTTTTGCAAAGTTATTCCATCAAGGTTGACGGATTGATTAAAAAAAAATTTCTGTCACATGCCACAAAGTTCCTGTAATTGACAAAAAAACTGGTGTTGGCTAGAGCCTGGTCCTCATTCTCAAATCATGACTGTTCCCCTTACCGAACACTCTAGTGACGAAGCCCAGTGGGAACTGTGAGGCGAAGAGCGTGAGGAACCACGGCGCGGCGTAGAGCGTGGGGGCGATGTCGTTCTTCTCCAGGTGCTCGTACAGCTCGCGGTGGTTGTCGTGCAGCAGGCGAGACAGCTGGTACATCTGGATCTGAGATAGCGGGGCAAAATTCTTACATCTATACCAATACAGACTCACCAATACCATCCCTTGTTTTTTACTCACGATAGTTTAATGCAAATAATGCTGTTTTATGACATGTGCCAAGTCGTGCAGCAGGCGAGACAGCTGGTACATCTGGATCTGAGATAGCGGGGCAAAATTCTTACAGTCAGGATGATTTAAGTAATACTTAATCTATACCAATACAGACTCGGTAATAGCATCACTGATGTCAGCGAAGGCTAGACATCCAGGTGAAAGATATGCCAAAAAAACAGTTACTCACGCAACTGGACACTGACGAAAGGTAGTGGATGCTACCTGAAATGTCTTGACCATTTCCAAAATCATATCCAGTTGCTTGAGTAACTGTTTTTTTTTTTTGCGCAAAATTCTTACAGTCAGGATGATATACTCACACCTCATCTATACTGATACAGACTCAGCAATACCATCCCTTACGTTGGTAACGGTTAGACTTACAGGTTATAAGATACACCAAAGAAACTGTTACTCATGCAACTGCATATTGAATGACACTGACGAAAGGTAGTGGATGCTACCTGAAACATCAGACCATTTCCAAAATCATATCCAGTTGCTTGAGTAACTGTTTTTTTTTTGCACAAAATTCTTACAGTCAGGATGATATACTCACACCTCATCCACAGCAATAAAATACCCCGTTATCTTATGATATGTGCCAAGTTTTTACAACACAATACTCTTTGTGGCTAACACAGTTGGCATACAGGTGTCATACTTAGATGTTATATTTGACTCTAAATCATTTGAAGTCAAATCATTTCAATTCAGACATTCTGTAAAAAGTAGGTACCCTGAGACTGCAGTGAATTTTGCATTTATTAATAAGTAACTGTGATTTACTGGAAAAAAACATGTTAGTTACCACCATAGACTTAAACACTATGATACTGATCTCAAAGCAGGTGTTTTGGTGGCCGCAAAAGACAGTATCAAATTGGCCAGGGAGTATCCATTAGCCAGCCAGTACCACCCTTCGCTGACCAATGGACACTCCTCTGGCCAATGGATACTGCCTTGCCACTGTATGACCTGCCAAGAGATTACCAAAATACAGCAAAAGAATTTGGAGCAATGAGATGTAGAGGAGCTGCTGTACCTGCAGTGCCACCATGTCAGGTCTGTACTGCCGTCTGAAGCCCAGCTGGTACATACTGAAGGTCAGCATGTGGAACGCCTCCTCCTCTGTCATCTGTGAAAAGAAACAGAAATATGGGTAATGTAAGGAACCTGAAGACCACACAAACGATGTTGGCTGCCTATACTAAAGAAGAAGAAGAACTACATTTGTACAATTTATGGATGAAATCTGGATGTACATTCAATTTGATCAATTTGATTTCAAAATAGAACAGAAATAAAATTTTGCTGTTTTCAACAAACAGGCAATACTATTAATACAAATTTTAAGTATCTGCATCTGTATTACAGTATTCTGTATCTGTATGGCTGGTATAAACGCCCTTTGGTGTAACACACCAGCTTTGCAGGCACGCGGTGTGACGACAGCTGGCTACGTTACACCAAATGACTTGTTACACCTAACCTTTGAAGATCTAACTCTAAACATTGTTTAAAGCTATCTTATGATAATGACCCTACTGTCTTTGGTGACTTGTGATGTGCTGTGTGACTTACATGCATGAGCAGGATGCCTGCGACGAAGCTGAGTCCCTGACAGTACCCCACCTCCCTGTCCAGCAGTGAGTAGGCCTTCAGCAGGTTAAACAGGGCCAGCTGTCCCGCACCCAGCTGTGTGGAGAAGTATGCATGGCTCGGGAAGGTGCGGCCTGGAAAAAGAAACAATTCTTAACTTTTAGCTAACATCTTAAAATCAAGGCTGTCTGAAGAACAAGTGGCTGGGAAAGCACATTGCAGAAGGTACTGCACCTGCGATTTTTCATGGTTTTTCATTGGACGTTTTATCAATGTTATTTCATTGCAGACGATATCTTTTCCAACACAATAATTGAAAACTATAGATGTCATCCTTAAGTACCCAAATACGACCTTAAATGAGATGCTCTGCAAAAGTGCTTTGCACAGGTTTCCGCAGTCACAAAATATTCTGCCAACGTGCTGACTGGATATTATACCATTCATGGTTGAAGATAACACACATGAGTTACTTTGCAACAAATGAAGTATAACAGACTTCCAATATTGAAGTCATTCTGGAGCATATAACAGACCATTCAACAGCGCCACCTACCTAAATCAATGAGAATGGCATGCTGGTGTGATGTGAGTTGTCTGATGAGTTCCTCGTAGGGGATTTCTGGAGGAGCGTTGCTGTGCTTGTTCCTGAGCTGGTACTGCTCGGCCAGGAGTCTCCAGATCTCTCCACGGCGCACTTTGGGTACACCTGGACAGAACGTGAGAGAAAACATTGTGGTTTATGGTAGTTTATTATGAAACAACTCTCCTTTAGCTGCCCACCGTGGGTGACAGCTATTCTTCCAGGAGAGGGTGAAGTACATAAGAACATCAACATACAATTACATAACGTTACATTACATACATTTATTTAAAAAAGACAAATGTGTAACATCGTTTGACACTTTGACTATTACTATTTAACATCACTACAGAACCCTTTTAACCATGTCATGTATAAATTTCTTCTACAACATATATAGAAATTTGCCTGAATGTACAAGTAAGTTCACAATGATGTTATGACATGTATTTAATGATACAATATAGGCAATTTGTGTTCCAGCATATTGTTCTTGGCTGCCCTTGTCTGAAGATGGTGAGGCCTAGTGAAACTAGTTGGTTCTATGCACCACGAGCAAGACGATGAGTGAGTAAGTGTAATCTTGTCTGTTGTCATGGCTATATTCTGGTAACCATACTAACTAACCAACTCACCAGCTCTGACGACAGCCAGCAGCTCGTCAGGGTTGAACTTGACCTCTGCCCTGTTGGGAGTTCCCAGCATGCCGTCCCACATGACCAGGGTGTTCTTGGAGCAGGGCAGGATCACGTCGTAGTCCAGCTTGGTGCGTTTGGTCTCCACCGCATCCATACGGGCTGTGGGAGGGAGAACAGAACATCTGGTCACATGGGTTGATCTTTACCACACAAGTAGTGCTGTGTACCTAAACCCATGTTCATGTCCAGGTCTGGATTCAAGTCCAGAGGTTCAGATACGGATTCGAACCTCTGGACCTAAACCCAGGGCATATGCAAAATAGAGAAGGGACTGCTCAGTGAACATTTCCCAATGGAAAATGGGGCATCTTTATGCAAAATTTTGTAGCGAGTGCTGCACTTGTAGGGTTTAGAAGCAAGATATGTTGTTTTCTGGGCATGTCTGGGTAAAACTGTGGCCACATTATTTACCAAGGCCGACACTTGATGATGCCCAATGCCAATGTTTTCTTGATCTTTTAGGATACAAGATTTGGAAAATATAGATGGGATGTCGTTCATGAATACCCAAAAACAACCTTGAGACATTCTGACGAACATTATGGCAACATTAAAGATTTCCGTTTTTGACATTGATAAAACATAACCATATACCAGTGAAGATACAAACAACGGGTGCATAAAGTGCCCAATGAATGCTGTGAACATGCTGTGCACAAAAAACACTGCTCTTTCTGTTATCGTGGTGCAAAAGCAGGATGAAATTAATTGTGCACACAAAAATAGACCTCACAGCAAACGTGACGAAACACCACCAACCGATCAAAATTTATGCAAAAAATATCCATCGAGACTTACTGGTGTCAAACGAAGCTGAATGAGGCAAAATGGCACCTAAACAATGGAAAAACAAATATCAAAGAAAGTGAGGAAGGCATGTCAACATGCAGATTCCTGACACCCTTCCTCATGAAAAAGATATAGCAGGTATAAGTGGATGCAAAAGCAGTGCAAGCCGAGTACCTAAAAGATCCAAAATCAAGGATAGAATGGGGAGTTGGGGACTATTCTGAAGATAACGACAGTGCCAAATTGGCAAGTTAAAACTTATCTCCAAGCAGATCTTTTGGTCGCTAGAAGACAGTATGAAATTTGCAAGACAGCACCATTGGCACGGCAGTATCCAATATGTCACCCAAATGGCTGCTGAATAAAGAAAGAAAAAAAGCAGAAGAAAAAAAGAAGACCTGATAAAAATGCCTAAAAAATAAGCCGAAAACATAAAAAATAAGTTGAAGCCTATACCTCTGCTTGGAGAGTAGGTTAAAACAGACAGCAAAGTAGATAATGGTTGTACAATGGTCTCACACCATGCTTTATACAAGCTTGGGGGGAAATGTCATGGGGCAAAATATCAATCCAGTACCACCCACACAGCTTTTATGTACAGCAAATAATGTAATTCTTATCGTAAGATGTCTGATGTATCCCTTGTACATATTACGGGCAGTGCCCTTCAGAAAGAGGATTACAACAGAAGGCGGAAATACGTATGACAGACCCGCAAAATAACCAAAGGAGAGTCACCATTTGGCTTCGACAACATTTTATGCACTGACAATTTCTAAGAAACAGTGCTGAATGGAAATGTTACCAGTATTAATGGTCTATAGAGATGCTTAGGACCCTGAGTCACCTTTTCAGGTCAAGGAGAATACTGAACAACCCTAGCCTGGTAGGTTCTTCTGCCATTTTGTTTTCTTTTTCCTTCATTTTCACAAAGCTTAGAGTACATCATATGCAGTCCAGTTCAACTTCAAATACTATTGTCAAGTTATGCAAGCATACTGTTCAGTCATGCGAATCTGACTAACAGATATGCTTTAAACCATGTCAAGAAATTTTTTTGAAATACAATGTAGCTGTAAAGGCTTCAGACAGAGTAGACAAAAATATCATTTTCTTTCACTCTGGGTATTAAGATGAAAGTGTTAGACTGTTAATAGCAAAAACATGTTGTTTGCAGGTATCTAATGGTAATGGTGAATGTGAAATGGTGTTTCCAGTGCTACTATCATGACAAAGTGCTAGAGCTGTGTACCTAAACAAATTTTAGGTACAGGTACAGGTACACAGGTTTAGGTACAGGTCCGGACCTGAACCTGTACCTGAACAATTCGACCAATTTATATGCTCTTCTGAACTCCTTCAATAACAAAAAAACATAAATAAACTTGATAGTTAAGGTTTATTCTTTGTTTATGGCGAATGCTCAGATAAAATATAGGCAAAACTAAGATGTTTTTGTTTTCATGAACACACTGTCCTTACACAGGCACCCATTGTTAACCAGCTATTTAAACATTTGAGGTCACCAATAGGCATAAAATTAGTGTGAAATTGTTTAGGTACAGTACCGGTACTGAGGGATTAGGTATTTTGGACCTGTACCTAATCAATTTTTCCGGTACAGTATCGGTACTGCGTACCGGTACACAGCTCTACAAAGTGCTATTACACCATGAGCTTACCTGGAAAAATCACAATAGACGACAGACAGAAAAACACAAAACTTCCTTAAGGCAGCAAAAAGACAGAGACACTACTATAAGAGAGTGACATACAGTACATCAAGAAACACAGATACACCTCAAGTATTGGAACAAAGGGAAAATTTTAAAAGAAAAAACAGATCCAAAGTTACACCATGTGTAAGGAACATACTGGTCATTATCAAAAGTGGTGAAAAAAAAAGAAACCCATACCATAAGGTGAATCTCAACAATAAAAAAGATCACAGATACATTCCTAAATATACAGAGGACCAAGTTTCTATTTTGTGGAATCCAGTCAAGCAGCATGCATAAATGAAGCACCTCGAAGCACCCTAGCCATTGACAGATGCAAGCATCGCAAGATATAAAACACCTCCATGCATAGATTATATAGCAGTACTGATAACAGTTATGAGCACCATAGGGCAACAGATGCTACAAACTCTATCGCTTGCATTCATCAAGGATGCTGGCAGCTTTTGTAAACGGTGCAATTATAACACATCAAGAGAAGCATTTAACTCTATGGGGACCAAGATGGATCTCACACTGGGAGAGTAAAATTACCTGTCAAGGGACACTTCCTGGCATTTCAAAGGTACTGTACACTACTGCAAAATCATGTTTCGTCAATTTTTGATATGAGGTCCAACAGGCACAATTGTTGTTTGAGATACATTGTACTATGATCCTTTCTGAGTCAACCAAATAAATGTCAAGAAGATCTTTTTTCCTGATTGAATGAAGAATCCTTTCAAATCCTGAATAGAAAAAAAGCTGTGTACCACACAAGTGACAAGGCTGTTTTGTTTTCTGGTTTAGCAACAGGCAAGGATTTGTACATGAATAGGGAGGGGGCGAGTGGGTCTGAAATCACAAAGAATTAGCTACAGGCAACTTATTAGACTGTGATTGGTTGCTTTATTGTTCAAACACAGTAGATTGGCCTTGCAGCCACGGCTGAATTGCGCCAAGCTTTGCAATAAAAATTCAACTACATTAAAACCAACAAGGAACATTATCAAACACAACCAGCAAAAAAAATAACACTTGCAAGATGAACACAAGTACCTTTGAGGTTGACGTTTTCTCGCTCCATTCTGATGAGTAAGATCTGCTCCATGATGGCTTTCTTCCACAGCGCTCGCAGCTCTTCCCGTGTTCTCTTTCTCGGCTTCTCCTCGCTGCGCAGCTTGGGGCTGGCCTCCGGCGTGGTCAGGGTCTCATCCAGCTCATGCACATCTGTGGGAAATCAAGTGGGTTGTAATCGTAACAGTAACATAGCATTTCTTCATCAGGTTGGTAGAGTATAGGATATACATTGTACATGTAGGGGTTTTCTTCTACACAACCAAACTTGTAATCGTAACAGTAACATAGCATTTTTTCATCAGGTTGGTAGAGTATAGGATATACATTGTACATGTAGGGGTTTTCTTCTACACAACCAAACTTGTCCTACCTTGCTTACATTTCCGTGTGTATCAGACACCTTCCTCAGAGCTTCTGATTGGAGTTCTGCTTCTCGTCACTATGTGTAGCCGATATAGCGGTAAGAAGCAGAACTCCAGTCAGAAGATCTGAGAAGTATCCGATAGACACCGAAACATAAGCAAGGTGAGACAATACTGGTTGTGTAAAAGAAAACCCCTATATCCAACGCAACATATGGTTTACATTTCTGCTAATTTGCATTAACATTAACCTGCTGATTTCTATGCAATATGTGGTCTGCATTGCTCGAGAATAACCAGTTTGAGATCTAGAGGCGAACAACAAGAAGATTTTAAGGATGGAATTTCCCTTTTCCTTTCTTCTTCTGGAGAAGTTTGGTTGGATGGAATTTGGCAAAGAGCATCTTACATTTAATCCAAATGAACCCAAAATAGTAACGTGAACTTTTTTCATACTAAGCTGGTTAAACCTTTGTATTGGAAATGTTTGGCAAGGACTTTACGTTTATTGTTTACTTTGATCTAATCAAGCCTTGAGGGACACATAGGAAACCTTTTTGACTGTGACAACACAATTTATCTCTACCATCCTACATCCATGGATAGATAAGTGAAAGATACACAACAATGTCATGGCAATGGTATCCACATTGTATGACACAATGAGGGAGTTAAGTCACCAGATAGAACACATACACGAAATCTTCACCAAACAATGACAAAAACATCACCTTGAAATGTGGTAGCAAGAACAATGTTAGAACACAACATAACAAAGCACAACATTTGTAATGATTGATATGATTGGAGAAAGCAAGAGGAATCAACATGGGTGATGCCCAATCACGTACACCGATACATACACAAGGTACCTGGCATTGTGTTATTCCGGCCGGGTGTGACCACCCGGGTGAAGATGGCCTGTCTCCACGACATTCGTCTGCGCGGGGTGTACCCCTGGGGCGTGTCGGGGGGCGATGAGATGCTCTGATGTAGTCTGAAGGTTTGCAAAAAACACTTAATTCTTCTGAATGGCATTTTGCTACATTACAGGCCAACTATTTTGGTTAAAGCTCTCACTACAACTAGACTAGCTCGACACACATGAACGAAGCCACTTTCTTGTTGGTTTTAGAACAATATTTCCATGATAGTGTATCACAAAGGCAGGAGTGGTTTGTTCTATCTTTCCTTGGCAACCAGTTCTAGAACACCTAAAGATAAATTCAATGTTAGACAGTTGACTGTTGTCCACCTTCTGTTGCTTGACTAAATGTAATCATGTCTTGTCCCGTGTAAATGTATGCCGGGCCCCATTGGAAAGCAGCTCCTACTAGCTGAATGGGCTACCCAGCCATTTTATGATGAAATAATCAAATAGATGAATACTAAAGATGTTTGAAGCTAGTTCTCACCTGCTTACGTTTCAATGTCTATCAGACACCTTCCTCAGAGCTTCTGACGTGTTTTTGGTACACCTACTTTGGCGATAAATAGCGGCGAGTTGCAGAACTCCAGTCAGAAGCTCTGAGGAAGGTGTCTGATAGACATTGAAACGTAAGCAGGTGAGAACCTTACTGGTTGTGTAAGAAGAAAATTCTATACCCTAAGTATCTTCCAACCTGACGAAATTATTTACGGGAGTTCTAACCTTTGTTTGCTCCCATTTGAGCTGTCAGACAGACTGTCCTTGCTGGATGATCTGGAGGCGAGCGGCGATGACTTGATGTCCTTCATGATGTTACGCCTGGGCGGGACGTGGTCCAGCGTGTTACTGCGTTTTCTCAGCTGGAACGGCGAGTCCTCAAGGTCAAACTTCTGTTCCACCTCCTTGCCTGGGGTGGGGGGCGCGGACGTGGGGGGGCCAGGGGAGTCTTCCACTAGTCTCAGTGGAGGGGGGATGTTGGATGGGTTCTGGAAAAGGGAAAAACAGGTAAGTTTAAAAAGCACTGTGTATTTAAAGGTTTCATAAAGTCTGGGTCCACCATGCGTTGTGTTGCTCATGCTGAGTTAATTTGTTTCTTACCCTCAACCCTTACACTTGCTTGTACATTAGGCTGCAAATCTGGATTCGCCGTATTACATCCCAAATTCCTTGCAATGCGAATCAAAGGAAAAATGACAATGTCATCCGTCTCTTCTACCTTGGTTCCTTGTCAATGTGGTAATGCCTATAGTTTGTTAAAGGTTTGTTAGATAAATCTCAGGTAATGCCATTGTTGGTGAGTTTTTTCTAGTGACTTTGAGTGATAGTTATTACCCAAGTTTCAATTTCATAGGCAGCCTTCTACGTGCAATTTGAGTTCCTGTTTGTTCTGATTGAAAGGTCTGTTTGTTTCTTGTTGCAGAGTAGACAAGCATAGTACATTTTATAATGCCTCAGTTAAAATCACAACAATTGATGCCTTAGTCACTGCCTTCCAACATGTCTATGATTACTCTACACATTATAAGAGAGCAGTTGAGAAAGATTAGTGTTATGCAAGAGTGCCCTATTTTGACCTGATTGACTTATAATGTACTATGACTACTGCAATGCAAATGTTATCTTTTTACAACATTCTCTGGCATTAGAATAGATAGTTACATCCTTGCACCATGCTCTATAACCTACAAAGTTCTCTAGTATTAGGACTAAATGGTTACAACCCTAGGCCATGCGTTATACCCTGCAATGTTCTCTGGCATTAGACCAAATGGTTATATCCTCGAGCCATGCGCTGTACCTAACATGCGAGGGAAGGGGAGGGAGTTTATCTGACTCTCCAAGAAGACATTGATGGGGAAAGATCATTATCTTTTTACAAATGGCCCTTTTTTGGGGGTCGTTACCCCCACCAAAACAAAAAAAAAGGCCAAATGTAAAAAGATAACGATCATCCTCCATCAATTTCTGCTAGGAGAGTAGTTTATCTGCCCTTACGGCATGCCGCATGCACCCAAGAGTTGGTAGGACTGGCTATATAGTAACCTGTTGCATTGAAATGCTACGGGTGAAGAAAAACTTCTCCCTGCGGGTAGAGTCTACGGCTGCGGCCCGGGCCTAACACACACACACAGACAAGCGGAAATAAAGAAAGTCAAAAATGGGAGGAAATACTGCAATTCACAATGTTTTCACGGTAGTGGAATTTCACAGTGTGAGGAAAATGTTCATGGAATTTAATCTTCACAATGGTGAAAAAGTGGAGGGGGGCAAAACAAAGATGATTTGAAAATGGTGATGATGAGAACAGAACCGTGAAAATATCAGGAATTACAGTAAGAGGAGAAGCTCCTATGAAATTAACTAGTCTAGTATTTTCTGACAGCTACTTGCCTTCAGACTAGATTTGTACTTTACTGCAAGCTGAATTTTTTAACTGATATCTACATCCAGCTATCATTTGAAAATATTGAATGTTTATCATCTACTAAAAACTGGTAACTATACTAGAAAAGTTATAGTTCTGTAGCATCATGAAGGAGGCTGGCATGTTTATTATTATGTAATGTTTAAATACAGTTGAAGCATTATATGCCGCATGATGGCTAGTTGAAGCAGAGAAGAGTTAATCTCCAAGCAGACCTCTACGTTGGGCAAGACACAAGGCCAACTGAATACTGTCTGACGTCAGCCAGTAGTAGTCACTAAAAGTCATGTGTCCACAGCACTTGGGTCATAAAGCTGATGAAGACTGAGTGATTCAGTCGAAAATTTCTGGTGAGTCATTTTCATTATTGAGTTGGAGAACAGTTTAATTCTCGTCATGAATACTGGCTAGTTGGATAGTGTCTTGCCCCCCAGAGATGGGAGATGAGCTTGGAGATGAGAGAAGAGTACCGGGTGGAGAGAGGTGCTTCTGAAGAGTGGAAACTTTCTGTGCAGGGGGAGGGAAGAGGGGGGTGTGGGCAGCTCTGGCACCTCAGCCAGAGACGGCTACAGGAAGGATTAATGGTTATGATGATGATGATGATAAGATGAGGAATGGTAAAAAGAAAGAAAAATGGCAGATCGATTAGATATGATATTATGAGCAGCAAATGATAAATAAAAGCAGATGGAAAATTATGTTATATTCCAGAGATAAGGAAAACTATGAAGATATGTAGCAATATATTGTTGACACACATTAAGTAAGGGAGGGTATCTTTACTTCTAAGTTGTAAATTAAGCATTTAGTATAATTTGATATTCTTTAACTGACTTCCAAAATGTTGATCTACCCAGCCTGAAACTGGAAGAGTTGATTATAGTATGCAAATAGTTGCATCTAGCCTTTTCAATATACAGCCCTTTTTTTCAGAGTAACTCAGTTTGTAATGCTAGAACGCATTGTTATGATGTTTTGTTTTTATATCTTGACTGGAAAAAAATAATAGAGAAAGACTTCATGTTGTGTAGCCACAATCTGAAAATTGATATGGGAGCACTGGCTGGTTATATGAGGGAGCAGTGCTCTTCTTCCCTGGCTTAGAAAAAAACCCTGATGTGGGAATTTACCTTAGCAGCAGCGGCGGCAGCAGCACCGGAGTCCAGGGTTGCAGCGCGGTCTCGGGCCGACTGTCCATTCCCCATCGGCTCGCTGGCGTGACGCTGCTTCCCTTTCCCCTGGGAGATGACAGAACAGTTCACTTCTTCATTCAAACACTGTACACATCTATCTATGACTGTGTGTTTGACAAATCTTTGAGGAATAAAAAAAATACACATTGAAATAATAGACTAGATGAAGGGTTAAAAAAAACCTTGCTCGGCCCCTTAAGACAGATCAACATTGATCTAGGGCGAGAGGTTAAAATGAAGGTGCTGTGCGTTGGCCATCAGTATATACATTGTATTGCACAGGTGCATTCTATTGCACAGATACATTCTGTGCTGCTACTAGTATTATTGCACATCTTCTGAGAAAATTTCAGATAATGAAGAAAACTCTGTTTTGAAAAAACAAATAAAAATACCGGTTTTCTGACAAATCTTTCTTGGAAAATAAACCTTTGTCTAACATTAGCATTGTGTGATAAGGTTTGCTTTGCGGTTTAAGTCGTTGAAGATTAAACATAAAATGCAATGAATTAGCACAATGATGCACAGGACCTTCACCAGCCACCTGTAGTAGACATGTTCAGAACTCATTCATGTCTCATGTAAGGAAAAACTATTGAATGGATATTTTCCAAACTATATAATGATGTGGATGGGAGATTTTTGGTGTACATCAGACATGAATGGTTAAAGATTAATGTCTCAGCTTGTGACAGGTTAGAAATATTGAAAGGTTACAGTGAAGAGAAAAGAGCCCCCAGTCAGATTTTTACACCAGCAATCTGCTATGCAACACAGATGGCTATGATTTGCACCAGGATGTCCAATTTCCGTCCATCAATATTTGTTGGCAGAAATGTATCCAGGTGAATGGTGATTGTAAGCCTAGCTAATTCATCCACTTTATATTTGGATACCTTGCGCAAAATAATCAAAAGATTTCATGAGGTCTTGAAGATTTTGGGGAAAAAAATTTCCAGTAATAATTTAACTGTTTCAAAAATTACTTACACCCAGATAACATGAAACTTTGCATGATTCTTGCATTTGACAAAAACTGCATTTGAGGAAAATTGGTGATTAAGACTATGAAAATTTCCATCATTTTTTTTAATAATTTGTTAATTGAGTAAATGGTAATGATGTGTCCTGGTAAAAGAAGAAAGAACCTAAGAAAAATCCAAGGTAATAAATAAAAAACAAGACCTACTGCAACACAGACAGTGTTATAAATGATTGCCTTGAATTGCCCCATAACCAAAGGAAACAGAAACAGCAGTGTGCTGAATTGAAGAGTGATCCATTAAAATGCCATGCAGCCGAGGAGTCACCAATACCGCTTGCAAAATTACAGAGCAGTGCAGCTCAAAGTGATACAGCAGGGCGCCCACAATGACGGGAGAGCGTGACATGCATGCGCGAGTGGTCTGGCTGCTGTACACATAGAGATCTGTGGGAAGGAATGAAGCTAACCTTTGCCGTAAATATGGTACCTGCCGATGCACGCTGATCATGTCACACCATGCCGCACAGAAATTAACACAAGTTAGCAACCAATCACAGTGCAGAAAGGACTGTCAATCAATCAAGTTAGCAACCAATCACAGTGCTCAAAGAACTGTCAATCAACCATGCTGTCCAACATTAGAATTTTAGTGCTAAGTTGTTATATAACTCTTGGATGTGATGAAGAAAACGTTACAAATCACACATCATGCAGATTTCTGAGCTCATATTCTGAAAAAAAAAACTATATGTGACATAGCTCTCCTCCTAGCAACAACTGTCATGAAATGAATCCATGAAAATAAAAATATTGTAACTGCTGTGGACAGTGCTCTAACATAGAGTCACAATCCTTGTTGTTGATCTCTCAAATACAACAAGAGAGAGCATTCCAGCAAATGGTAATAATTCTATTAGATATGACATTATAAATTCAAAGTCATTTGGGATATGCCAAGTGATACCGACAGACTTCAACAGCTTTCATTCTAGCATATTGTCGAGATATATCGGTGAAGGTTAGACATCAAGGTGATAAGATACGCCAACAAACAGTCACTCAAGCAAATGGATATGATTTTGGACATCAAATCAATTTTCCGTATCATATCCAGTTGCTTGAGTCACTGTTTTTTGGCATATATTGTTGACACTTCACTATAAACAACAACTGTTATAGCAAACAGTAAGGTCTTACCCGTGACAGGAGGCTCTCGAAGGAGTTTGCCAGAGACTTCTTGGCCCGGTTTCTGATGACATCAAACTTAGATGGATACCGGTGTCCATCCTGGGGAAGAAAAAAAGTTGAGTGAAAACTTGGTCCTCTACAGATTAACACCACATTACTTTATGTACAAAATCTAAAATCATTTCAGCACATGGTTGGAGCATGGAGTTAAAAGACGTTTTTCCACCTCCATGGTTGGAGCATCAGGTGGTGGAATTTCTTTTGTTGCAACCTCAGTTTTCCCTTACTATTCCTTGTATTAGCCCAGTAGTGGGATTGTCATGGTATACAATATCTAGTTGATAACAATAAACATACTGAGCCTTGTTGAAATGTCATGATTTGCTAAATATGGATGGCACATTTCACTTTGCAACACCTAAACCCCTCTTCACAACACAGTCTGGACACAAGTGTTACTTTACCATGGCTAGCTTCAAGTGGTCCACAGATGCGTTCAATCCAACCCAAACAGAGCCGGCTAAGTACTACGCTAAATGGCCGCTCGCTAGTGCAAATACACACGGCTCTCAAAAGGCCATGTCCTTGTAACGAACACACACAACCTTCCAGCATAATGCGCACCGCGGGGGATAGGATATCACAAAAAGCAAGACTTAGTCACATCAGACGTAAAGAAACAGAAAACCGGTCACTGAAATAGAAACACTTAATGTGTGCAGATGATCAGATTTCCTAATGAATTAGAGCCAATATGGCGACATCCGCAGTGAAAAAAGCCTGTGTTAAAATTGGGGGAAAGGTAAAGAAATACTAGGACGATATTCTAAACATTGTTTTGTCATGAAACTAAAAATACTGTACCCAAATTCTGGATGGAATAGCCTGTCCAAAAACCATCTTGCAAAAGCACAAGAACTGCTACAGTCAGCTGAACAGTGGTAGTTTGAAAAGTCTGCGACTATCGAGTGAAATCAATGAATACAAAAAGCGGAAACAGGAGAAGTTATTAAAAACTACTCAATATCCTCAATAAACTGGTCCAAGCAAGGAAAATAAAACCATGCTCCAAGTTACAAAAGTATGGCAGTTAGTGCCAGTTGGAGGCCGTTGGCAAACAATGTCAACTATAGATGTAGATAAGATAAATTCAAAATCATACATACCGCGCTAGGCATGGTCAAAATATGGGGGAGTTTCAAAACCATCTGCAGAAATTGGTAAAGAACTGACAGCTCACTGCACTACATGTGTAGCACTCAGTGGTCTGGACTGAAGTGAGGAACGTGTTTATTGTGCTGAGTGACTAAACCTGGCTTTTTTTAGCACAAAAAAGGTGCAAAGTGCCTACAGTGAGGTCACTGGGTAAATTTGATCAGCCTTGAACATGCAAATTTACAAAACAAACAGGTAGGATTCCCAGCATGCTTTTAACAACATCCAATCCGAGTAGGTCGGCATTTAGGAACAAGCTGACCCCTTTTGTTTCTTTTGTGTGTTAATAACACAAAAGAATGGACCTGTTAGCAAACTATGAATACTTTCTCACCTGTTATCCTCATTACCATATTAGGCTTTCTTTACCTGTTTTGTGGGTCACAACAGGTGAATTTCCAAGCCAAGCGACAACTAGTGAATCACTGGTAAACAAAGGCATTTTCTTGCGTAGTTAACAGCTTGGGGTTGGAACTTTTTATTCAGCTTTAAGTGTTATGCTAAAATGAGTAACAGTTTAACACCTGAATGACAGATGAAAAAAAAAGAGAGCAACAAAGGCAGAAACAAACTACACAGACTGTTGACCAACATTTTACAAAACACATTCCACATTTTACAAGGCCTAGGAAAAAAAATGTTGTGTTTCATGTTTGAGTCCTGAAATAAAAGGGTCGGTAGGTAGGATAATCTTTTTTTTTTTCTTTTTTATAAAGACTTTACTTTGGTGATCTCTAGTGATCCAACTTATACAATACAGTTTATCAAAGTGAAACTTGCACTTATATCTTAAATGTCAATGTTGGAAAACTGATTTTACAATGTTTTATCACTCAGATCATGGACCTAGAAAAGGCCGATCAGCTCAAAAAATTTTGTCCCTTGCAGGAATCAAAAAAAAAAAAAGGCTGGGGTAAGAAGTTTTTTCTAGGGTTGGTCGGAAAACAGGAAACCCAACAGTTTTTTTCCTAGGCCTATAAGCACCCTGTCTACCATCCTCCCATGACTTTCCTTATAAGGCCTTTAAGCATCACACACCACGGCTGGAAGTCCCACCATCTGTTCATGTTTGCACTGATGACTCAAATGTCTCCATGGAGACAAAGTCCTTTTATGGTTTGGAGAATCACCTGGATATGGCACTTATTCCCCACAAATCGGTTTCATATTAAGGAATTTTGGAACGTGACAAAAATATATGTTCCTGATAGTTGATCTACCAATGACTCAAAGGTTTCCATAGAGAGCAATCCTTCAATTCATAATATGGAATCAACATGAGAATCAAACACCTGGAAACAATACTCATAGACTAATAAGAAGCATTTTGCACATTCTGCAAAAATGACTTTCAAATCTTAATACCCAATTCCAGTAGGTCTCAGTTTGATGCAGTCCAATTCTTATTCATTCATTTCTGTCACACTAATCTGCATGTATAAAACAGAACCTATTTTCAGAGTTATTCCAGGATCTTTGCTTCTCACTGGTATAAACATTTTGGCTTGTGTGCCCTTGTCACAACTAGTTTGCCACGTAGAAGGCACAAAACCATCCTTTCAGAGAATACAAATACAGCAAGGTTCAAATAGAGACATCTGGTCATGTATGCCGATGACCTACTGAATAATATACAAAGAAAAGGATTCTAGCTTGCCGTCCACAAACAACCGAGAACATGACGTCTATAAGTTATAACAGTTACCAGTTAACTTAGCCATCGTACCAGTACAAATGAAATGCACGAACTCATCTACAAAATGATAAACCTGTTAGTGTTGAAAACAAGAACAGTGAAGAAAACAAGCAGCTATGGCTTATGTCATGTACAGACTATTTACTGAGAAATGCAATGCATTGTCTTCAAACTAACAGATCTAGAGTCTCAGTCTAGTACATGTACCTGTATCTTTTTTGTTATCCACAAAAAAAAGAAAACTCACATCTGTTTGAAAAACAAGGAGGAAGATCATACAACATGGTGGAGACTGTTCAGCTCTGAGCTGCCTGGTGGAAACTGGCTCAATTATGGGTGTTTAAATATAGCCCAAACCATTACAGTAGGGGGCAAATCACAATGCTATCTTTTACTGGGTTTAAACTCAATTATGTCTGAATGAATGAGTGTGTGTCGAAACGTTTACATGGCCATTTTCTAACAGTTTGAGTGTTTAAAAAGTGTTCATGGATGATGGACTGAAGAGGGAAAAATTTTGCAGTTGTTGTTAGGCATCCCACCAAAAACATTGGCTCCTGCTGAACTTTTTACTACACGACACAACCTGTTTTTTCAACTATATTGCACAAGGACACTGTGAGAGCCTGGAGCCTTTTTGTTTCCCACATTAATCAGTGCAAATTACAGTGAAGGAAAGGTTAAAAAGTTTGAAGGACACTCTTGTCTAGGAAAGAGGACTTTCCTCCAAACAGAACCTACTCTGTACCTACCTATACAAGGGAAAACATCCAAATTTGTGAGGGACATGTTATGGAGCCACTGATTCACAAGATCAATAGAACATCCTGTTTGGAGAGGGAAGTGATGTCAGGGACAAACATGTCTGGGCACTTGTTTAAAAGCTAAGTCCTTGTTTTCAAACAAGCGCTGTGAAATATTTTAGAAGATGTGGCGCTTTGCATATACATGTCTTTTACTAGTACTTTTTGTTGTACATACATGTAACCCTGGAGGCCTGACTATACTATGACGTCTCCTTTGTTCCTGAGATGAAATAACAACCATCTGATTTCCTATCAAATCCATAAACTATAAATCACAACGTTGGAGCCAGAAATGATAACTAGAATCAATAATTTTGTCCTGAGGCAGGGATTTCATGAATATGACTAGAGAAATGGTCCTATGTCTCTTGAATGACAATGACAACATTGCATTGTGCCATTGTGACTGAAAATATTGTAGCATCACTTAGATGAGACCTAAATCTAAATCTAGCCTAAATCCCTCCTGCTATAAAATTGCAACATGATGTAACCCCATGCTAGTTACCATGGTGACAGATGTCTGGTTCAGGTCGTTGACCTTAATTATTGAAGAAGAGGAAGAAGAAACAGAGCAAAAATAGTATGTTTTCTTTCTGCAAGAGACATAAATAGGTTGACGTACTTGGCTGATGTCACTGATGTGGGTGTGGACCTTCTGTCGTCCCTCGTACAGGCTCCGCAGAATCGCCATGGTGATCTCATTCTCATCCTGCTCACCCGTCGGTTCCGCATTCTGTGGACAGAGAGACAAGAAGACATAAGAAAAAAAAAACTTTATAAACATTGGCAGACTCCAAAATTTCTGAATTATACTTATAGCTAATTTACAATGCAATATCAAATTTCTCAGAGAAATAAAAAGAGAAAACATTCAGTTACATACATAGAAAAAAAATCCACTGTAACAGTTCCATGTTCCAAAAGGCATTACACATGTATCATCTGTGTCCATAATATCACCAGGGTCCATAATATTGCCACCTAGAGAAAAAGTGTGCTTAAAGATATTTTTACTGCAACATACTTTTGGTATGCACTCCTGCACACCTCAAATGTACATACCTAGGGTATGTTGCAGTAAAATATCTTTAAGCACACTTTTTCTCAAGGTGGTGATATTATGGACTATGGTGATAATTATGGACACAGATGTTATACAATGTATATTCCATAATCTAGATCTATCAGAGTGAAATCCTGAGGAATGATCCCACCTTGATCCTGGCGGTGATCTCAGTCTGATCTGCGTCTCCCAGCTCCTGGAGATGAGCTTGGATCACTTCCTTGGCTCGGGGAGGGTACAAGCCTGGAGACACAAACAGTTGTTAGTCAGAAACAACCACTGAAATCTAGGATATAGGAGTTTTCTTTTACACAACCAATATTGGCTTATTGTGTAAAAGAAAACCCCTATACCCAGTGAAACTATTTTCAGAACAAAAAATCTGTAGGCTCTTTTTAACTTTTATCTGCCAGATTACATTATATCCACCACTTTGAAAAACAGAGTGTTTGACAAATGTATACTGTTAGTCCTTTAAAATAGCCTTGTAACTGGTTAGACAACCCTGTCTGTCTTTTGTACAGCTGGACCAATAAAATAAAGAATGATAAATAAATCTCTAGTGTACCATCCCAAGGTATGTATGAGTTATACAATATAAGAATGATACTGGGGATTATTGAATTCAAGAGTGCATTATACATTTTTACAGGATAGCAGACATATGTGACCTCCCTGTAGCCAGAAGTACCAGCAAACACCCTTACAATTACATAGGATATCAAACATGTTATGGATGTGGAATTGAAAACATTATCACTGCACCTGAACAACCACATAAACTGTTCTGTAGCATCAAATGCTGCTTTTACAGCAGGATAAATTTGAAGCTTAGGTTGAAGCACAGAAATAGATGTATTCAGTAGATAAACCACAGCCTCATCAATCAGGATAATCCTGGTCTAAGGATGCCTGCCAGGAATTGGCCAAACCTGAGAGCTGTCCTACATCAAAGACAATCAGACCAGTATTCCAATTTCTTTAATCTCGCGGTCTTTCCCCAGTTTTACGGGCGGCGTAGGAGAATGAAACATTGAAAGGTCACAAAATGGTTCAGTGATTGGAATAAATATGCACTTTCCAATTAGACCACGGCGTAAAAATCGTTCTGTATATCAGTGGGGTGCCAGGTGCGAAATGCGACATTGAGACTGGAAATGATCTTTTGGTAATGAAGACTGATATACCAGACCACCTTGTATGGTCCACTGTAATCAATGATCGCACATTTGTGGCTGGAATAATCGAAGGCCCTCAAGTTAAAACTGTATCTGTTTTCAAGTTAGAATTGATTTTTGGACAGACAAGAAGACAAGATGGATGAGTATGTAATCTATGAAATAGGTTACTACGAAATCTCTGAACATCCAACAATGTCTTTGCCACCAGACTCTATTGACTGCTGATTAGAAGGAGTTACATGTAGACAGATTTGGTGCAGTATAAACTTTTAGTGACCTTCCACATTCAAAGTGACTGCTATTGGCACACTATTGGATGGGTTTGTTAAATTTGCTACCTTATATAAAGCTGTTATGTACAAGGAAAAAAGAATATGGATGGCAGTAGCAGCTGTGGCAAACGTGACTTTGAAATGACACTTGGTTTACAGACCATAGCTGTGAGGGCCCCAGTTTGTGAAAAGCGACACTGCGTGAGATACCAGAAGCACGTGTAATAGCCTTCATCTATCAAAGTCTTTGCAACGTGACAAGGTGAGAGATGCTAAGTTTGCCCATGCAAGAGGCCAGAGAGATCTATATCTGTATCTGAATAGCCAGTATAATGACCCTTAGGCATAACACACCAGCTTCGCAGGCACATGGCACGGCGGCAGCTGGCTACATTAAACTGAACGACTTGTTACACCTAACCCTTGAACATCTAACTCTACATGATCTAATGATAATGCCCCTACTCTACTTGGTGACAGCAAGTTCCACTCTGCGATCGTTCTAGGAAAGAATGAGTATAGCCCATGAGGTAAAAAGCAGAAAAAAAAGATGATTTCAGAGAGTACTAGAGAGTTCTACATGAAGTCCTTCCTGATGTATCGGCCTGTTTGCGAGGGCCCCAGTTTTTGAGAAGTGACATTGCGTGGCTATCAGGAGCACATGGTGGCTGCTATGACTTGGCTGCCAGCTTGAAGAGGTGGCCACTTGGTCTAGTTTAACTGCCAGGGTTTAAAATTCATTTTTGGGAATAGGTGCACCCAATTTTTTGGGGTCGCACCATATAAGATAAAATGAGACTGCACTATGTATCAGCCTGTTTGTAAAAGTGAGTTTTCTGACCTTCTATCTGCAGAGCGAGCTTGTGGTACTGGTGCATGGGGCAGGTCTCGCACACGATGTGGGTCCGCTGGCTCTCAGCTGCAGCGTTGAAGGCCTGCTTCAGACACTGCATCACCTCGTCAACCTGCACAGAGTTTCATCTCATTAGCGAAAATGCCAGCATTAGCCAAAGTCATACTGTAAATCACTGCATGTTCGCAGTATCAAAAGTTTGTGGTCTGAGAAAAATGAAAATGTTCGCGGTGGTTTCAGAGAAAAGAAAGTTTGCGGTAATGATAAATTTGTGATACAGAAGTGATCACGAAAACCAAAGTGAATATAAACGTACTTTGAAATAACCAGTCACTGACATGAGAAAGTGGATGATACCTGAAACGTCAGACCATTTTCAAAATCTACCCAGCTGCTTGAGTACGTGTTACTTTGGGGTAAGTATATCTGTTCTATCTTTAGCCTGATCCTTCAAGTGTTTTTCTGCTAGTGTATTACCTACTTGAGAGTACTTGGAGTTGGAAAAGATGGTATCCCGGGTAGGAAAATACACCCAGAGATGGTCCCCCAATTGTAGCTGTAAATCTTGTCCATGCTCAGTCTATCACAGTACTGATTCTTTATTAATGCTTTTATATTGATCCCATTCCAAAAGCCTCATCATTTATTATGTACCTACATGGGCTGGTGCTCAGAGTGTCACACTAACAGCATGAGGGCTGGAACAAGCACTGAGAAACTGAGGAGTTCTAGAAAGGCCTAGATCTATAACCTCCATTAAAATTCATCCACTGAGTACAAATGTAATAGCGGAACTAGAAAGGTAACATTTGCAAGCAAATGCAATATGTTTACCTCAGGATGGTCTTGCCTACGATTTAACGTTATACCTTTATTAGGACAGGAAAGGTAGAAGGATAGTTTGCTTATATTACTGACTTTTATATGCTGTTTATAGAGTAACATCAACGTTATAACTGGGGAATTTGAATGTTTTTGCCGTTGTAAGGCCAAGTCTACCCGTCTGCCACTCAAAGACCATTACCATAGACTAGTCTTGTAGTGCCATGTATAGGAGATACTAGGATATATATAGTTACATACCACAGTACCAATGATTCACTCAGCACACACTCTTACCATGTTTGCAATCAGGCCACAGCATGTAACTTTAATCAATGACATCCTCTGCAGACTGCAAGTAAACTTCGAGTCTTTTTGACAGCTTTAGTTACAAAGGACTTTGCTGCGCTCATCTCACTACCTTATTACATTTTTGTAAATAGGAAACAGGACGTAGGCTGAAATAATAATGATGATAAGTTTATTATTATTACAAATACATGACAGAAGGCTAATTGTAAATACGTATATCATACGAAATGATATACAATGATATGAAGAACTAATTCCTACAGTACACTTTAGTCTTTATACTACAGTATATAAGATATATATCAAGCCAGTTTTGTTGGGTTTTACTTGTTCTTTTGATCGCCGAGCCAGTGAATATACCCACTTCTATAATAATTGTTCTTTGAAATTTTATATGAAAATCATTGCAATGATGATGAAAATCTACAGTTGTGTAAAATATTGGAACTACACACTCTATAAAACCATACATACATACTTAAAAGCTATACATGACTTAACTGTTACATATATTATGCAAATTTGACATACATAATGAATATTTATAACCGGATAAAGTAAGTAATAAATATTTACTGGTCAAAATGGAGATATAATGTGTTTCTAGAAATGGTTGTGATGTGTTGTATCCTTCTGTGGATGGCTGGGTTCAGCTCTGTTAGGTTCCTCCCCAGTTTCTCATGGACCAAGTTCTGCTTCCTTTCCTAGCAGAGGTCCAATCTTAAGAGTCTTATGAGGATACAAACAGCCGAGTAAGCATTTCAAATGTGATCAGAAACTGATATTATCCTTATTATGTTTAGAGAGATAACTTCACGGGATATGCATCATCGGGATACGGAATTTTTCGGGATAGGCGTCCCGAAAAATCCCGCGAGATATCCGCGTGTGGTGCGAGATCTCCAAGTCTACCGCGGGTCCTGTCACCGATGGCGGCGTGCCAAATGTTTATTTTTACGTCCTGTCGGGCGATCTGGGCAGGGCCAATGGAGCACCCTGACGTCAGTCAACTTTGCCAAAATTTTTATTCACCGATAGCACAGGAGTGTATATTGTGATGACGCGTTCCTCACGCGGTAATAGGTGAACTGCTACATTTTTACAAAGCTATTGTGCAGCGAAAAACTCACGAAAACTGTAAGAAAATAGCAGGAATGAATTTTTAATAAACCCTTTCGTCTCCGGTGAGTTTCGGCAAGTTTATAAACCTTCAAATAAAATGGGGCGTACCGGCTGTAGTAGTAGGATTCTAGTAGTTGTATTTCATTGTGACATCTTGTACTAAATTGGCTTGTTGAGGTCTACTCATCTTCTCATAAGCAGACTGCGTCAAGTAGTCTCTGTATTACGAAAATTAGGAACGTTTGCACATCAAAATCCCGCGGCAAGCGTCTCACCCCTCCCATGCAAACACGTACACATAAAATAAATAAACCCTTGCATCAACAATCAACGATCCGACCACGTCCATTGACGTACGTATTACCCTGAAAGCAAGTACTTCCACGCGGCTGGCAAATCTTCCGGTGGAAAAAGCATTCTCGTTCTCGATGTCACTTGTGAATGAAATCGGGATGAGAAAAATACAATGCCGCTTGCAGGACTGAGGCGGAAAATCGCTACAATCGCCAGGGCGGCCGGAGTCTCTGGGGCGGAGCATCGAGCCTTTGAGTTTGAAATCTTGCCGCCCAGCCAGTGGGCGGGTCCCCGTCTGTGTGCTGTGATTGGGCGCCGCGCGGTGATAGCTATGCTGCGTGCCGTTTCTATGGCAACGTGGCCTAGTCACAGAAATGTATCAATTCTTGTTAGTTGCTGATCGCAAACACAGCCAAGAGGCGTAAAGAACTTTTTAATTATGCTTCGCCCCCCTCTTGTTTAATCTCCCTTCCGCAGCTCCGTGCGTCGACCTCCCCTATCTAGGAGAAAAATGAACTTCTGGCGACATGGCACGTGGATGTGTTAGATTTTATATCTGAGATAGCGCGGGTCGGGTGACATCAAAAGCAGTACTTAGGGCCGTCCACATCGCAAGGTCAGACAGAAATTCTCGTACCAAGAAGGTTGTATCATTTTGTTATCGTTCTAAACATTATTAAGCCACTAAAATTTTCGATATTAAAAAAGAAATATTTGATTAATAACACTAGCCGTTTGTGCTAATGTTATCATCATGCATAATTTGGAAACAAACATGCGCCGCACCGTCTGTCTGTAAAAATCTTAGTCAACATGGTTCCCGAAAATACCCGGGATATCCCGATGAATCCAGATTTGATGCTTATCCCATGAACTGTACTGTATTATCCCGAAAAAGATTGAAACTGTCTGACAAAACGACAAAATGTAATGTCACATCCATGTTTATATAAACGTAAACAAACGCCCCCTCCCCGGCCCCGCACCCACATTACAAAGTCGACAATAGTTACAGATGAACACAATTCTGTTTATTTTCAAAACGGCAGCAAGCCTAAATCTCTATACATACGAGATTCTATCAAGTCAGGAGCTAGTGTAAATTATGAGTGTTTTTTTTTTATTTGAGCCGGCGGTGATATGCAAAAATTACACAAAGTCGCCGGCGTTCTGTGGAAATCTGCAGTCCTACTTGTGGATATTGAACCCAAAATCCATGCAATATTCTCTACTCGAGACTGGTATTCATATGACCGTATTTTACGAAGAAAAATGAAAACTTACCGCTGACATTGATCCACCGATCTCTTCTCGTGTCATACAAGGGCGGATGCCCATATTTGGAAAGCTCGGGTGTTCCGTGCGTAGCGCTAGGGTCATTGACCGCGGTTATCGAACACGCTGTTCCATTGTTCCATGGTTGTTCGAATGTTCCAAACGCGTTCTTTTTGTTCGATTTTTGGCTTAAAATGCAACTTTTTTCACCCATTTTTTGCAAATAAATTCATTTTTTCACATCTATGTTGGCCAAAATGACAGCGGTTCAGTGTCTTACGTACCAACCTACCAGCATGCTGAATTTCATTTTCTTCCAGGTTCTAATTACGAAAATATCTACGATTTTTAGGTGTTTGGAACGGAAGAGGAGGAGGAGGAGGAGGAGGAGGAAGAGGAAACAGAGCAAATATAATATGTTTCCTTCGGTAAACATAAATACATTGGAAACATATATTTGTGGTATCAAGAATTTGCGGTAGAAAAATACTATGAACATTTTACAATTCAGAGTATGCCCCTGGACTTTTTCTGGAACAAATTCTGGCTTTGACAAGATTTGACCCCCTCAAGCCTAACTTCCTGACTTTTCCAGCAGGATGAGAGCGTCAAAATATCTGTATCTGTATAGCCGGTATAACCACCCTTCAGCATAACACACCAGCTTTGCAGGCACAGGGCGCGGCAGCAGGTAGCTATATCACACTGAATGACTCAATGTTACACTCAATCTTTGCTCATTTAACTGCAAGAGTTGTTTAAAGTTTTCTAGTGATGATGCCCCAACTGTACTTGATGGCAATGAGATCCAGTCCATGACAGTTCTTGGAAAGAACACCACAGTTTTTGGTTGATAACTCTGATAGGTCAACTCCTGCCTTACTCACCACAGACTCTGCCTGGCACCTGAACACGTAGCACATGTGGCGGCTGCTCTTGCTCGACTCGCGGCAGATGAAGCCGAAATGCTCTGCTTGCTTGATTCCCTACAAAGACAAAATTGTTAGCTTGATATTTAAGGAGGTTAAGTCCCAACACATCAGTTAAGCAGGAATAGTGTCAAAATTTCCATACAAAATCGTAAAAGGTCACTGGAAATTGAGCATCGATAACATGAATATCTGAGCATCAACTCAGAGAGATTATAAGGCAGTGCAAAAAGAAAATCTACTTTGAATGTTATCTTCTCTAGCAAAACACCAGCTGTCTGCTTTTCACATCTTGCGAAATAATCAAGTTACTGCCAGAACGAATCATCAAATCTCACTACTCGCGTATTAAATCTTACTTATTGCTTGTCAGACATGGCATAATACAGTTATTTACTGACAACTGAGTACTGAAGCAGGCAGGCATGTTTAACCTTTAACATGCTGATCCTAATGCCCAAATTTCTGATGGTTCACAGATAAGTCGGGAGGCTGGAGGTTAAGTAGACTGTAGCTAAGCCAAGGGGTGTAGGAGAGGTGTAAGAGAAGGGTAGAAGCTGCAGCAGAAAAACAGAGACTGCGAAAGGCTGCAGCACAAACTACTGTACCTCTAACTACACAGCACACATGCAGTATATGCAGCAGGGTTTGCAAAACCAAAGCCAGACTTTCAAGCCACACAAGAAGTCACCAGAGGTGCAAAGATAGTCTGCTAGACTGGACTGCCAAAGAAGAAACCCTATGACAAATAGTGTATGCATGCTCTACCTGTGACAAAGCTGAATTCAGCATTTTGCCTGCACTGCAAGCTCTACCAAGAGTGTAAAAAATAAAATATCTCTTCCTTTTAGTGTGTGTTGCTGACGTAGGTTGAAATGCCATGATCGCCCACGTCAAGCCTTTAACTTCTTAGGACTAATCCACTTGGAAAGGATCAGAGGGAGAAAAAAAATCGTTTTCTTGTAAAGGTGGGTAAAAATGCAAATGAAAGGGAAACCCTGCAGGAAATACAAATCAAAGGAAATTTGATAACAGTAATATCATATGCCAAATTATTTTGGCAGAAAAAAATTCAAGCATATTTTCTACATGGCAACCCCTATTATGTCTCGAGGGCTCTTTTTGGTATGACGTTAAGAGGGTAATTTGATAAATGTTGGCTCCATCCAGCGGTGTGTTACCAGGTGGGCTACAGAAGATAAAGGGGACATCAGAGTGGTACCGCTGACGTCAATGCTTCCTGACTGACGTGGGAGGAACGGCTGGGGGCACAGCTACAGGAATATATAGTTCACTACTCCTGAGGAGAGGTGGCTGAGAGGGAAGTGGCAGGATAGGCCACTTACACAACAGGTTCAACAGAGTTGAGAGCGAGAGGTGAATAACAACTGACAAAAACCCTGGTGGGGTCAATATTTGGGGGTAACCTTGATGATGAAGAACAAGCGAGAAATGTTGAAGGAAGGATAGAATTGGAATATTCCCAAACAAGTCATCTAATGTGAACTGCTGTGCAAGCACGTCTAACCCTCGGAAGTCGGGAAACAACAGACGATAAACCAGATAGTGAGTGAGTGTGAGACAGAATACATACAAGACGGTAAGAAAGAAAGCCATCAATTGTATCAACACTGTTAGTAAGTAGTGTTACGCCATGTGTAAGGTAGGAATTAGAGCTAAAAGAAGTCTTACTTGCTTACAAATGCTAGCAAAATGGCTGCATTTTGAACATGTGCAATGCATATATGTCACTGTCACGGTAGCAATATGTAGGAGATCAAAATCACCTGAGATACAAACGAAATGTCCTTGAAGTTCTTCTCCAGGATGACTGACTTGCGTTCCAGACTGATCAGGCTCACTTCCAGCGTCCCAATCTGAAGACAGACATTTTGAAATAAAAAAGTCAGCACTGCAGAAATTTCAGGAAAAAATGAACTTTGCAAGATTTAGATAATTGACAAACATGTAAGCTTATAAGGACCTAATTCCTAATCACAGTGGTGCAAATCAAGACTCTAGCCAGCTCAAAAGTTTTTCTGTCAGCCCAGGTTTAAGATCGGACCTGGGAAGAGAGTGCTTGCAATCAATGGGGGGTCCGGGAACAAATTGTGGATTTTGTAACTTCTATCATTTTGAGAGGTAAATCATGGGGTTCAAAGTGGTTGTCAGTGATCCTTTGGATGTTTTTATATTTTTGCCAGATTTTTGTCAATTTTGTCTATCAAGGTTGACAGATTGGTTTTAAAAATTTTAACGGGTGCTGGCAAGACCCCTGGTGCAAAGTCAACATTGAAGTAAGAAAAAAAAATGTTCTTCACCTGAAATAACATGGTCCTGTTCTGTACGTTTCCTCCACTGTTGCTGCGATGTCTCTTCTTCTCACTGTTGGCAGCGTCCGGCGTCTCGCACACGTGGATGTTCAGTCGCGGGTCCTCCTGACTCGATCTACACTCCTCCTCCGTACACCCCACCTTGGAGTTGTTGTTGGCCAAGTTGTTGGAAGCCTTCTCCGGCTCTCTGGAGCTGGACCCGAGCCTCTTCTTCTGCTGCTTGAGTTTCTCGGCGTCGTGAATTTTGAACTTCTCGATGGTGTCGTCTATCAGGGTGGGCGGGGCCTTGGTGTGGGATACCACGACCTTGCCGCAGTAAATGACCTCGAACTTGGAGGTCTTGTTGTCCATGTCCTGTTCCAAACGGCTGTCCACATGGGGATTGTCCTTCAGGTACTCCTTAGTCGCCAGACGGATGGATGCAAAGATCTCTGGGACCTGAAGGGGAAGAATTAAATAATGTCTTGTCACAATTATGGCTGGCAAACTTTTAATTACCGTCAGGAAAATGGAGGCATTGTTTTGGGTGAGTCTGTAAGAAGGTGTAGATGGATTGTGATAATATTTGGTATGTGGGTAGGTTTTGGAAAGATAAAGGTCAAAGTCAACTTTGGGCCTCCTACTCCTAGTGGCTGTCCTTGGTACTGCAACAGAACTTTCTGCATATTTCATGGAGGTATGAGATCTCTGAACTCCTGTTTTGAAATTGAAAATGTCTACCAATATGAACTCCAGAAACCAAGGACAAATGAATGAGAAAAATGATAAATAATAAAGAAGAAAACAGGCAGAGTTATAGATTATGATATCCTTGCTGTAAAAATCATATTCATTTTGCATGCTGTTTTTCCAAAATATCTTTTATAATCCCGTTATAATGAATGACTAATGAAGATAATCATCATATTAGTATACAGTTTGTATACTCAAGGGCAACTGCAGGAGCATACTTTTCTATTAAATTGTCACTTCAGCATGCCTTGGCAATGCGTCATACTTTAATGTAATGTAATGTCTTAATAATCTAATAAGTATGACTTCTAATATGATCAAGGTATCAACACCACACATGCAACAATATGTACATAAAAAGCAGACTAGAAATTTTAAATGAGTTCCCAAAAATGAAATAAAAGAGCTTTGAGACCATGACTGGAAAAATTGTCAAACATGTTCATTTCATCATACAGCCTCTTTGCTCTGGTCCTTCCTTGTCCGTCAAAGGTCAGCAAACATTAGATATTCTAGACCTGACTGACAGTGTACGCACCACCGCTTATCAAATATTTATCACGCCTTATGATATACAGTAACCTGACGCCTGAAAACTAATGCACTAACAGGAACAAGGACCACAGGATCCATCTCATCTTCAAAACTGCTGAATAATTTCATGGTAGATATTCATGAATTTGTCAATAAAATACTGGAAAGGACAGTTTTGGGCAGAAAGATAACTTGGACATCTATTTTCACCAATCAATCAATCAATCAATCAATCAATCAATCAATCAGTCAGTCAGTCAATCCATCCATCCATCCATCCATCAATCAATTGATCAATCTATCTACTAATCAATAAACCAATCAATCATTTACTAAAGCCCATAGCATACCAGTATTTACCAGTAAAGGGAACCTAGAGTTTAAATCATGAAAAGTAGTCTATCACTCAGTGTGACTTATGTTATCACTGAATATCAGTTGCCTTAAATTATTTCTGACACCTTCATTTTGCTATCTTGATAAGCTGGCACTGGCCAGTTGCAGAATCAGATAGGAGAAATACATGTATAATCTCTGTCATGGAGGCCTCACGTGTCCTTCCATGCAGCACAGAACACCAGAGGGGATAGATGCAGGCAGGGTGATTGACATGGACTAGATGGGAGTTGTTATTCTGTGGGTGGGAGCAGACAGTGTGTGTAACAAACAGGGAGTAAGCAGAGAGTCCTGGCTAATTGGCATGAGACATGTCTGCTGAACAAACCTGACATAAATACTAAACATGGTTGACTCATTCAAAACAACCCTGTACTGTGTGTGGTACGATAGGGTAATCTCCAAGCAGATCCTAGAGTGGCAAAAGACAGTATCAAATTGGCCAGTGAGGGTCTAACACACCACCCAATGGATCCTCTCTGGCCAATGGATACTGCCTGGCCAATTTGATACAGTAACTGTCTTTTGCCTCCCTAGGATCTGCTTGGAGATTAAAGATACATGTAGGGCTCATTTATAACCCTTTTCCACACCAGCAATCACATTATGACTTCAGGTGACCAAATTTGATAAAATACCGGTAAAGGATGATTCTTGATTTCATAACCGGAATAATGCATGACAAAAAAACATAGAAAATGTTAAAGCAATAATTCTTTAACAATGAAATTTGTTGAGCAATCTTTGAAGCCCTTGGTTGCCATATGGTCACAGCTGACGCAGCATGATCTCAGAAAAGGGGCCTTTGCACTGTATATGACAGTGGGGTTTCTAGGTAAAAAAACAGGTGTACACTGTTACATACAGTCTCTATAAAGTTGTTATGCCAACTCAAGGTAACTGTCTGTGGAACATAAACTTGATTAAACCTTTTCCCCTTGGAGGGTTCGTCTTTACAACAACTGTGTGTTTGGTTTCAGTATAAATCAGCAGGGAGAAGGCCCAGCTGTTGTTTTTGCCCCTCAACTGATGAGAAGAATCGTATTAAAACACTGCATTCCAGAGAAATGACAAGCTTCTTCTAGCACAACGCTTTTTCTTTTTTTTACTTCATATAGGGGGTGATCGTCAATGTAAACCTAGTTCATAGACAGTGCAGGTTAGGTGCAGGTGGATATCAAAAATACCTGCACAGCTCCAATTTTACCTGCACTAACCTGCATATACCCAGTACATGGACCAGTGCAGGTTAGGTGCAGGTGGAAAATCAGAAATACCTGCACAGCTCCAACTTTACCTGCACTAACCTGCATATACCCAGTACATGGACCAATGCAGGTTAGGTGCAGGTAGACATCAGAAATACCTGCACAGCTCCAATTTTACCCGCACTAACCGCAGGTGATATTTCCAGCCCTGTTGCATATGTTTGTCTACGTATGTCATACGGCACATCTAGCACATTTCTGGACTGCTAAAGACAATCTGTCTAATTCCAGGTCTGTCTATACAAAGTGAACTGCTGCTGTCTGAGGTCCTGAGCGGTACAAGTTAAGTTTAGCACATGTGGCAGCTGCCTACGTGCCAGGACTCATGCTGGGGAGGCTACAACTGAAAAACAAGGCTACTAATCATCTTCCACCTCACCGAGCTGTGAATGAAAACGATACGTAACAATTAAAATGACTCTGATTGATATTTTACTTGATCACTTTATACGACTGGTTAGATTTTACGAACAGTTTTTCATTCTGGTGTTCATAAACTGTGGTCTACTACATGGTTGCACATAGATCTTCATTCTATATCAACAACTGTGCACTTTTTCTAGGTGATGCATTTTTATCCTGGCCAATAAATGACAAAGTTATATTCATTTTTGTCTGTATATATATATATATATATATCGTTCCTTGCAAGTTCCCATATTTTCTTACATTAAAAAAAAAATCAACTATAGCTCTGTGCTTGCAAACACATTTTTAGAAGACATTAAATGAACTTTGCTACCCTGGCAGACCCTGAGAGCCATGTATGTAATATAGTCAGTTAGTGATCACTCCCCTAACACGTGAACATATTGGCATTATGCATGTCAGCCCATTTCAGCACCAAACTTGCATTAATGCTATATTAATATATATGAACATCTGGCTTTTAGAGAAAACCTATCAGTGTAACATAAATGAATCACAAAATAATTAGTTAGAGATTGCCCTAGATTTCAGTTGGCAAGATATTCTCCATTCACGATTTATTAGTACATTGCCTCTTCTCTATTAGACTAGGCCAGATTTATTATTAGCAATTCCTACAAAATCACGATTAAAAACTTAGTAATTTTTTAGCCTTCTTGGTACACCGACTTAACCATATCAGAGTTATATTAGGGAAACACAAATTGAAGTGAAAAAAATTCGGAAAAAAAAATCTGACAAACCTGCTGCCCATTCTCCTGCTCCAACAACTTGGACTTGCACATAGTAAATGTTACGCAATGCTATGTTTTCCTAGCAAGTCGAGGAAGTATTGTACATAACCCAACCCTCAGTACACAACAGTTACACTGTACACGTACTGGTAGTACTGAGAAGTCAGACCCACCCAGATCAATACTAGTACATGTACTGAGAAACCTGTCCCACCCAGAATGACATGTCCCCTGTCACGTACACAGTTAAAGGCAACCCTGTCAGGCAGGTTGACACAATAGACTCCTGCTGTCAGCCCTCCACCTGCCCCACCTCAGGGGGACATGTACAGGGCTCACAACAGATGACATCATCCCTACATACTGACACGTGCAGACTTCACAGCCAACAGGATCAACAAGCTACCCAGACAGCACTCAGCAGAATGTACTGCACCTACACGAAACCCTGGTTTTTCGCATTTTTCGTTGGATGTTTGGTCAACGTTGCATCAGAATTTTGCCTGTTGCAGACGATATCTTTTCCGACATAACACTTGAAAACTACAGACAAGATGTTAACATTATATCTGCAAATATGACCTTATATGTGGCGTTCTACCGAAGTGCTATCAATACATGAAGGGTTTCGCGCAACACAGGTGCAGTACATTCTGCCAACATGCCTACCTAGACTAACGTTGGAAATGACAGCCCTATAAAGTGTTTTATTCCTTCGTCCTTTCTGTCTTTCACGTACACGTAGTACCTCCATCATTATTTCTAGTTTACCGTATCTCTAAAATCTGAGTGACTTATGGGGAAAACCATCAAGAACATAAGAAGGGTCTATTCAATTGACATTATATTGACTCAGTCCCCCCTACCACATTTTTACTTGTCACTAACGTCAAACTACCAAAGCCTGTTTTCTGCAAACAACAGTCTCATATAGTCATAAATTCTACTTCCAAGAGGGATATATATCATGTTTTCAAGTTCAAGGGTATGCTGTTGACATCGAGTTGAAACAAAAATTTATTTGTTTTCATGAAATGCTGTATGCCAAAATCATTGTTGGACAATCCACCGGAGAGAGTACAAAACCTTTTACACATCAATAATTATCATTGTCTAGTAAGTTTTACAAGTACAGACTATATGTCTATTGCGTACATGTATATTGTTAGGTGACAAGTAAGAAAAACATCCTACAAGTTTGATAGCAGCAACATAAAGACAAAAGCTGGTCCTCATATACTAGTTCCTACCTCCTCCGTATCCGAATGCTCCTGTACCATGGCTGCAGTATCTGTCTCGTCCTCACACTTGTCTAGCTCAAAATGTACGTGTAGTTCCTGCGTTA